ATGACAGCTCCGGAACCGTTACCGAGATATCCCAAGCCGGTACTAACACCAGGTGGTGGAGCACGAGTATACAACCTGTCTTTATGATAGACGGGTGGCCCAACATAGTCTTTCAAGTTGGCAGGAGTGATATGAACATGAACTGTATCAGGGACCTTGAGTGGCTTCCTTTCGATGGTAGTGACGATTCGTTCCCCTGTCGAAAGTTCAGCTCCAGGTATGGATGTTTCAGCTGTGTCAGGAGCATCTTGTTTCTCGACTGCCTTCGTTTCTCCATCGACGACAGTAGAAGCAGAAGCTTCTGGTGATGCGGTAGGCTCAGGAAGTATATCTTCGCCAAGGTCTTCAACTAATTTGAAAGCAGCTTTACGATAGATCTAGATTCAGTATGAAGGTGTATGGTGAGTAATTTCTCGATACTGAACCCATCAAGGCCTGACCTTGTCGATATGTTTCTTCAAGTTCCGGACACCACTTTCACGGCAATAGTACTTGATAAGCACATCAACGGCAGCAGGATCAAGTTGAACATCAGCATCCTTCAAACCAGAAGCTTCCTTAGCTTGTGGACCAAGGTAGCGAGATGCAATCTGAGCCTTTTCTTCAGACACGTATCCGCTGACTTCAATCACTTCCATTCGGTCGAGAAGAGGAGCGGGAATAGTGTCGAGAACATTTGCTAAATGCATTATCGTGAGTAAAATGACGCAAAGACTGATCAAACTCTACATACCGGTACAGACGAATAAGACTCGGGACAAATCAACTGGAACATCCATACTAGAATCTAATCAGTACGATGTCAACATGAGCATGGTTTCAATACGTACTAATGATCGAGGAAGGCGGTGTTCTGTTCAGGATCCAACATCTCAAGAAGAGCACTTGCAGGATCTCCGTTGTGACCGCGACCGATCTTATCAATTTCGTCAATTACAACAAGGGGATTCTCGGTGCCAACACGCTTTAAGGCTTGGATGATCTTTCCGGGCAGGGCACTGAAAAAGTGATAGGGATGAGATTATGATAGTAAAATACGATGGATGAAACGTACCCAACATATGTCCTTCTGTGACCTTTGATCTCAGCGACATCTGTCAAACCACCAACTGAGAATCGGAAGAATTGTCGATTTAAAGCCCTGGCGATAGATTTGCCGATAGAAGTCTTGCCAACACCGGGAGGACCAACAAGACAAATGATCTTGCCCTGAACGGTACCGCGAAGTTTTCCAACAGCGAGGAATTCGAGGATACGGTCTTTGACATCTTTCAAACCATAGTGATCTTCATCAAGAACTTTTTGAGCATGCGTAATTGAGTAGTTCTCTTGTGAGTGTTGTCCCCAAGGGATCTAGATGGATCTTAAGTACAATGAAATAGTGAAAGCGGACAATAATCATACCTGAGTGAGCCATTCCAGGTAGTTCCTCGTGACATTGGCTTCAGACGCAGCAGGTTCCAAATGTTGAAGCTTGTTCAGCTCCTCATCGAAAACCTTCTTCACGCCTTCCGGCATCTTCAACGAAGCAGCTCTCTCCCTGAACTTCTCAATCATTTTGTCCTTTCCGTCTGATTCCATGCCCAGTTCTTTCTTGATACCTTTCAACTGCTCCATCAGATAATACTCCCGTTGACGTTTCGCTATTTTGCTGTCGACGTCGCGAGACAGTTTGCTTTGCAGCTGAGCATTGATCAATTCCTTCTTCAAGACCAACAATGATTTTCGAAGACGATCCTCGACAACAAGACTTTCCAAAACATCCTGAAGCTCTTGCACTTCACCAGTAGAAACGGCGGCGGCGAAGTCAGCGAGCTTGTCCGGTTCATCGAAAACATTTGAGGCGACCTGGTTGATCGAGAAGTTCGTAATCTGATCACGGAAGAGAGGGTTCAATTGAGCGATATCCTTGAACACCGAAACGATCTCAGACATGAAGGCTCGAATGTACTGATCATCCTTGTTATACGGTTGGGTGACGAGATTCTCGACATGGACAATGGAGATATCATATTGATGCAGGAATTGTGTCTGGAGCAGAGCCGGGGTCGCAGTTTCTTCCTTGGGTGCAGGTGTAGGAGAAGGCGATGGTGGCGGGGTAGGCAGAGTCGCTTCGACGGGCTTCACATCCGCTACCGGTTTCTCCGAAGACGAGACTTTGGACTCTGTTTCGACCGCACTTGCCTCCTCTGCTGGTTCCACTGCAACAGTAGGCGTATGTCCTGCTTTAATGAGATCCGTGATTTTGATTCGCCTGTGAGGATAAAGAACGGCAGTTAAGCCTTCTTCCTTCTCATCTGCGCCGGGGCCGGTGTTAGCAGCAAAAACACTTGTAATCTGCGCGAAAACTCCAACAGGATGTACCGAATTGATGTCCGTGATGACGTCGCTATCCGCATGTTCGTCCTTGAGCAAGAAAGCACCGAGATAGGGTTGACCGCGACGCATCATCTCCTTGATAGCAGCGACGACTGCAGGATTACGAACGACAACTGCCTTGTAAAAACCGGGGAATAATGGACGACGAGCGATGGGTAATGCCAAAACTTCAGGATAGACTTCAGGTACCGATTGTTTAGATATTGAGGTGGGTGATGATTGCGTTGGAGGGTCAGGAGGTGGTGAAGGAGGAGGGTCTGCATTAGAGCTGTCTGACCCATCTCCTGAGGATGATGACGAGGAGGGAGGTGCAGATGATGATGAGGAAGGAGGTGCTTGACCATCCTGTGATCCTTCTAGTTTAATCTGTGCAGGCTTCTGTGGGTCATGTCCCTCGCCAGGTTGCACATCACTGCCAGATGAGTCGGTAGCTTTGCCGGAATGCTGCTGGGCATATGGTCGTGTGTTGTTGACCCAGCGAGGAAATCGCAAAGGTTGAGTAGGAGGAAAGTCAGTCACCGTCGAAGTGTTGAACCACCGTCGCTCTCTCCAGTGTTGAACACCCCTGCTCGCGACGACCTCGACCTGGCGCCGCGACGGACCTGCTTCGCATGATGAAAGGAGAGTCCGACTACATGATCTGGCGGTGAAAGCTGAAGAACTCCTTAGGCTCCCAATAAAATTCATCCAAGATGTCGAGATAGTCGTTGCCCAGGTTGTGGTTGATGAAAGAGAAAGAGTGGAAGTGGTCTCAACGCCGACGACGACGACGAGCAGGACGAAAGAGTCAGTAAGCCAATTATTAGGCGCCTCTAATACTCCCCGAAAAGTGATTCGTAAGCGCGTTGATTTTATCAGATAAGATTGAATTGTTATTCCTACTTATCTATCCTCATTACGAGTCTAGTATTATGTAGGCAAGGGTTCCTGGAGTTCGACCTCAATGAATATTCTCGCAACTTGCGTCTTCCTCGTCGATTCGTCGAGAGAAATGCTTTCTCCAGTCGTCGCGAGGTTCTATCATCCAACGAGTTTCGCTCTCACCTTAGCACTTCGTTCATCTTCCACATCTTCGTTGCCGCGTAAATGGAACTCTCATCGTCCTAGCAGTCGACACTATTCCTCTTCGAAAAACGATGATGCTCACGACGACAAAGTGATTAAGAAGAAGAGAAAACTCAAAGGCGATAACGCTGATCATATTGTAGAGAACCCTTCCCTCGCGGTGAATGGATCCAGTGTGTTAAATCCCCTCCCATCAACTTTCCTTCGAGGTGGAACCTCCAAAGGCATCTTCATCAGGCGGGAATTGCTTCCTGACAGCAGAGAAGATTGGACCAAGATTTTACTGGGTCTCATGGGGTCTCCTGATGCGAAATATGGAAGACAACTCAATGGGATGGGTGGTGGTGTCAGTTCGTTGAGCAAAGTCTGCGTCGTTGGGAAACCGAATGTATACGGTGGTCAAACACCAAAGGTCGACGTGGAGTACACTTTTGTTCAAGTTGGAATCAAAGACTCTATCCTTGATGTCTCTGGCAACTGTGGAAATCTGTCGTCTATGGTCGGAGTATTCGCGTTGGATGAAGGACTCGTTGACTCCTCCAATCTCATCGTCAAGAATGATGACCCTTCCAGTATCACTGTTCGATGTCTCAATGCAAACACGATGAAGATTGTCGATACCACATTCCCAACCATGCAAGATCCAACGACCGGTAAACTTGTTGCCAAACTCGATAACGAGACGGTTGAAATTGCGGGTGTTCCAGGCAAAGCCTCCAAGATTATTCTTGACTTTATCAAACCAGGGGGATCACGAACTGCACACACTCTTCCAACAGGAAAACCCATTAACAACGTTGAGATCAAAGATCCCAATTTCACAGAATACGATATCTGGCCTAGTTTCGATTTGTCGCTGGTCGACGCTACAAATCCTACGGTATTTATTCATGAAAATGCTCTCAACGCATATATTCATCGCAAAAATGAACATCCACCTGCCATCTTCGATCTTTCCGACTATGCACGCGAAGACGTATTGAAGTTGTTGGAAGCATTACGTCGATCGGGAGCTAAACATATGGGATTGGATCCAACCGCTCAAGCTCAGCCTAAGATAGCTGCCGTACGAGCCCCAACACAAGAAGAGCAGGACAAATACGAAGGACTCGATATCGTTGTCCGAGCACTTTCGATGGGAGTGCTGCACAAAGCTGTTCCTATGACAGTTGGACTCTGCTTGGGAGTTGCTTGTGGGCTGAGGGGTACGCATGGTTGGGATATTGTTCGTGAGGTTCGAAATACGAGGAGAAGGAATGCGCCTGGATATGTGGCTTCTCGCAGCGCAAACAAAGAACATTTGAAAGAAGAGGAGGAGATGAAGAAGGAGTTTGTTAGGATCTTGCATCCAGGTGGTATCGTTGATGTTGGGGCTAGTATTGACCGTCATGAGTATTACAAGTCGACAGAGTGGGAAGTGAAGAGTGCGAAAGTGGTTAGGACGGGAAGAAGACTTATGGTCGGTTCTGCTTGGTGGTAGATTCACATTCTTCGCAGCAACATCTATCGTTTGATGAGGCTCGGTGAGTCTGCTTCATCATCTATTGTTTTGTATGGGCTGCGTGGTCTAATGGTTATGACGTCTGCTTCACATGGGGGCGCTGAAGGTTCCCGGTTCGAACCCGGGCGCGGTCAATTATTTTCGATGTCAGTTGTTTTGCCATAGATCTCCTGGACTAAGTACCTGAAAGCTCTGCGTAGTTTCGGGCTCTGGTGCTGGAGATTCGTCATGTCAGAAACACTATCCATTGTCGTTAACCCTAAATGATCTGGAATATATCTTCTTTTTTTTCGTAGTTGGAATTCGACTAAGAAAAATACTTGTTCAGGTAGGCTGCGTCGGAACAAGATAAGCAATTATTTAAAAAGCATTCATATCTAAACCCCACGAACAAAAGAATTGATTTAAATGTGCGTACCTCTTGGTTCTTGATCCATGACTTGAACAAGGGGAGATATATCTGCGAGAATTGCGAGAGTTGTTCAGGAACTACTCTCTGCAACAGCCGTCAGGAATTTCAGGAGAATATTAAAGCAAAATAAGCAATGTTGCGTACCTCACATATCTGTATCCAGTCATTGTCATGGATGATTGCCAAGTCTGCTCTGCGAGAAGAAGATTGCTTGAACAAGTCGGATGAGTCACGGCGTCGACGAAACATATAGTAAACAATGAGCAAACCTGGAAAATATAGTCCGCTATGGGTCGAAGGAGGTCATGAAACTATGAGAGTTGATTGGCAGAGCATCAAGGAAAGTTAAATTAGATGACTATTCCTGATTGTTAGATGTTAAAGCTCACTGGCACCTCTTCCTGTTTCATCGTGTCTTTGTTTGAGCCGCTCTCGCGGCTCTGTGCCACCGAAAATCCAGCGCTCGCAATAATTTCTTCCTGGGAGAGCCTGCGGTGAATGCGATATGCGCGGAGGAAAATACACTGCTCGCCTTAGAAGTTGAGAACTATGATTGAAAATGAACTCCAATTCTCGTAGTTAGGAGTGTCACAGTCCCACCCTCCCCAACCACTCTTCCCCAGGCCAACAGAAGCAACATCTTCATCTTGCTTGTTCTCTTTGAACCGAAATTTGAAGGTCGTGGGGCAGTCAGAGCATGCCATCGTTCCAAACTCATAGGTGATATCACGACCGGTAACAAGTGAAAGTTGATCGAGAGTGATATTTAAACCTTTTCGTATTCGCAAATTCTAGCCACGATTCATAGTGCGCTAGCATTTTGCTTCTGAACAAAGCAAGTTGCGCAGTATCGGTGCACGAGGTATGGCGTTTGATTATTAATACGGCAGCTTCTGACGTCTTGCTGAATTCAACATCGGTACCAACCGACAACCACGAAGGCGGTCTACCAGTAAGTAGCAGGAACGAGTCCTTTTATGAGTATATATGAAAGTATGGGGAAACGTACAATGATAACGACCCACCGACATTTCTCTCACACACTCCAGCGGAGGATACCTGAATACATCCAGAGCTTTGGAGTTCAGGAAACCCATTCATCAGTGAATGGATACCTTCAAGTGGGGAGTATCCGATTGGCACGTCCTTGGACGCAATCACCACCGTGTTCAGTAATGTTGAACAGACGATGAAAACGACCACGTACATCTCCAATTTACACCTCTTGTTCGTTACTGTAATCATTGATGGGAGCATTCCCTGATAAGCACAACTCCGAAGAGGAGTGCTGTATCCAGCCCGTATCATTTGACTGAAGAGAGTATAAGCAGGCCAATCAGCGAATAAGGCGGACATTATGAGCAATAAATCTACTTACTCTGAATCTGCATAGGTCTGAAAGTCGCTCATTTCTGATCAACCTAACTTGAATTGCCAGTGGTCAGGGTACGAGACTACTAGGAGGTCCCAAATTACCTGTAAAACGACTCATCTTATACACGATTCCCTGTTGACACTGCGTTGTGGAAATATAGCATGATCATCACAGAACCTAATAGAAAGATCATCAACGATGTTAATTCCGAATCTGGTTCGTTAGCGCCAATTCTTAAATTGGTAATTTTGATGGGGCTCTTGCCAAACAACAGTCAATAAACATTCTGTGTGATTCGCATCTAGTACTACTAGTACATATCCCTGAAGTGCGACATTTGCGAGTGGCCCGCATGCATATTTTTGTTGCCTGAGTCCGAACATTTTGATCTCTCATTCACCATCTGGAAAATAAAGTGAGTGGCCAAATTGACTACGCTACGACTGATTAACTATTCAAAGACAGTCGAAAATACTACTAGTCTGGGAGTCCTCTCTATGAAAGTTTTCATTGGAAAAGGCACATTAATTTCTTATGGAAACCAAACACGATGTTCTAATGTGTCTCTAAAGGTTTACGTATACGATTTTCCTCAAGTAACGATTTCCTCAGACTCCAGAGGAACCATCCTCAAACTTCCGAATGAATTGCTCGAGGTTATCCTGATAGAGCTCTCCTTTGCCTCGAAATCTCTCTTATTTTTCTCAAATGTGCAAGACCATCTATTCTATTCTATACAACATCTCCAAAAATCCCCTGGGGCAATGCATATTGTTATCTCAATATGACGACCCTCGGTCAAGTCCTACCGTGCAGCTATCACTGTCTCCCTCCGCTGATATTGCCAGTAGCATCGAAGAAGGGCCAGCTTATTAATGGGAACTTCAATTCAAACGTCGTGCATGGGCTCATCAATGGTGGCAGCGGGCTTCGTCTCCAGAGATCACAAAAGAAGAACTCGTTCCGGATGGGTTTTTCAAACTTCGACACGCAGATTTTATTTGGGACGATAAAGCGAAGAAGGTCGAGAGTAGTGAATTACGAGTACGGGTTATGGGTATACTTTTCGTCACATCAAAGGCTATGGGTATACCGAAACTTCCTGATACAACAAACGAGGGATCAACATCATCCACACTTTCAAAGACAAAGTCGGATGATATAGAATCATTCACGCAACTGGCGCGTGGTACATCTGAAGACCGATGATAGTTTACAATGGCACTCTATCCTTGAGTATATTCACCGTGACATGGTGGCGAGCTTGCATTTGCCGCATGTTCCCCAGTTCACCGGTTGACCGGTAAGTACCTCTTCTGAATACTATTACTTGGCAGCTACTACAACTGACTTCTTATCATGTGCATGAAGCTGTAAGCTACACATGAGGTTCGAAATATCAACTAAACCTCGGTCTGAAGCCCGAGCGCTGCGCTGACACTGAAGTTTGAAGCCTGAAGTCTGAATAGCATCATGTGAAACGCAAAGTTTCCCGGTCAAGGAATGTGTCTCATTCACATGAACAACCGTGTCAGATGTCCTCCTCAGAAATACATATAGTCAATGTAAGAGTAAGTCTCTTCAGGGCCAGTATCAAAGTTGATATCCTCCCTTCTTCAACAGTTCGACGACTCTGAATCCACTTCAATTTTGACTCGCAAACATGTCATCTTTGCTGGCTAACTTTGAATACAGTACTCTAGGGTTCAAGGATATTATCGTGAAATTAGATGGTGCTGTTGCTACCATCACGATCAATCGAGCCAAGGAGTGAGTAAACGACCTTGATATCTTCTTCGTAGAGTAATGACTTTTCTTTATCATTAACATCTATAGAAGGAACACATTCGGCGCCGCCTTTATCAAAGAAATCGTAGAAGCGTTCGACCTTTTAGATAAAGATGATCGTGTCAGAGTAGTAATTTTTACTGCTGAGCCTAACGCACCTGCGTTTTGTTCCGGTGTAAGTTCTGCCAAGTTCAGTATACTATTTCGACAAATTCAATAACTGGATAATGATCACTGCAGGCCAATTTGCCAGAAGGTGATGAAGGATGGTCAGGTCTATTCGACTCCGAAGCGGAGAAAGAAGGCTCACATGGTTCGTGATCTTTGAATAGGATTAACATATTGGAATCTCAAACTGATACTGTCTATCGTAGCTCACAGAGATTTAGGGGGAGTTGTAGCAATAGCTATCTTCCGTTGCAGGAAGATTACCATTTCTGCCATAAATGGGCATGTGGTGTGTATCGTATCGCTCGTTATTTTGTTGATTGGGTACTCATAAATTCACCATACCTTGTGTTTCTTCCCATAGGTTGGGGCAGGAGCAACAGCTCTTCAACTTCCGTTTGATTTCAGATTGATCTGGGAAGGGGCCAAAATAGCCTTTCCATTCGTTCGGAGAGGTATAACTCCAGAAGGTGAATTTTCACCGTTGTTTAGCAATTGAGATACTAATTTAATAAATCTCTGTTTTACGAATAACGACTGGGGTTTTACAAAGCTTGTTCTTCCTACCTTCTCCCCAAGTTAATTGGGAACTCTACTTCCCTCGCACTCTTTTTAACCGGAGAGACATACTCACCAACTCATCATTTCCTTCGCCCACTCTACTTCTCAGTTCATCCGAATCGTACAGATGTTCTTCCGGCAGCTTTGAAGCTCGCTAATAACTTGGCCGAAAACACGAGTCAACCCGCTATAGCTTCAACCAAAGCTTTAGTATGGAGAGCCAAAGATACAATCGAAGAACAGCATATTTTGGATAGTTTAGTTTTTAGAGGGTTGGCTGGAAATCAAGATGGAACGGAAGGGATTAAAGCTTTCAAAGAGAGAAGGAAAGTTAGGTTTCAAGATACGTTGGGAGACCTGAGATGGGAGTTGAGACCTTGGGTATGTTTTCTTGGACTTCATAAGAGCTGTGTACAAGGATTGACGCTTTCATTTTTATAGTGGACCGAAGTGGAGACGAGACACCGCAAAGCAAAGTTGTGATTGGAAATGTGTGTCACTTTGAACTTCAGGTAGCGAGTTGTCATTGACGTCCCCGAGCCCTTTGCTGAAAAGCTTAAACCAAAGCGAATTGTGTGCTCCATTCTAGTCCATTCTACAATATAGATTTTTTGTGCGATGCTGCATACTGTCGACCCGAAGTTCTGATTTCGACAGAAGTTCGAATGTTCCTATTTTTTTTGTGCAAAGTTTGCGGAGCAGCGCGTCACGGCTGTCACGGTGAACGGTGACATGTAACAAAAGAGCGAGCGCCACGTTTGAACGTTAAACTCGATCCTACTACTTTGCTTTCTTCCTCCAAGATGTCAACGACCCCTAACCTGGACTAT